CATTTGTATCAGGAATGCAGGGATGGTTTAACGTAAGGAAAACTAATAACATAAATGGTTATATTAAAAACAAAAGTAACAAAATTCATATGATTATATCGATACAGAAAAAAGCTTCAGATAAAATACAATACTCATTCCTCTTAAAAACACTTGAAAGCACAGGTATAAAGGGATTTTTCCTTAAAATGATAATCACTTACCTAAAACCATTAAGCAAGCACTATTTGTAATGGTGATAAGCTAGAAGTGTTCCCAATAAGATCAGGAGTGAAACAAGGAAGCCTATTGTCACCAATATTATCCTATGTTGTTACGAAATGCTAGCAATAGCAATAAGAAAAGAAAAAGAAATTGAAGGAATCAGAATAAGCAAGGAGGTAATAGAACTATCTCTTTTTGCAGACAGTATGATGATTAGCAAAATAGTAGGATAGAAAATAAACCCACATCAATCATCAGGATTTCTATCACCAATAAAGCCCTGAGAGAAGAGATATTAAGAGATACCCCATTTAAAATAATTATAGACAGTATAAAATACCTGGGAATATACCTACCAAAACAAACTCAGGAGCTGCATGAACATATTATAAAACACTTTTGATGCAGATAAAGTCAGATCCAAAACACTGTTCCTGGATTGGCAGAGCCAATATAATAAAAATAACAATTTTACCCTAAATTAATCTATTTATTCAATGCCATCCCAATTAAATGACAAAAAAATTATTTTACTGAGCTAGAAAAAGTAACAATTCATTTGAAAGAACAAAAGGTCAATAATATCAAAGGAATTAATGGAAAAAAAAATGTAAAGGAAAGAGGTTTTAGCAGTACCAGATCTTAAACTATACTGTAAGGCAGTAATTATCAAAACTATCTGGCACTGGCTAAGAAACTGAAAGGTGGATCAGTGAAACAGAGTAGACATACAATAACTAACAGGAAATGATTATAGTAACCTTGTGCTTGACAAATGCAAAGATTTAAGTTTTTGGAATAAGAACTCATTGATTGGTAAAAATTGTTGGGAAAGCTGGAAAGCAGTCTGGCAGAAATTGGGCATAGACCAGTATCTTCTCATTTATCAAGATGAGGTCAAAATGGATACATGACCTAGATATAAAAGGAGGTATCATAAGAAAATCAGAAGAACAAGGAACTACCTATCATACTTATGGATAGAAGAACAATTTATGAATAAACAAGAGATAGCATTGTAAGATGCAAAATGGATAATTTTATGTTAAATGTAAGCGTTTTTGCACAAATAAAACCAATGTAGCCAAGATTAGAAGGAAAGCAGAAAATTGGGAGGAAAATTTTATAGTTTCTTAAATGTTTCACGTCACAAGCATATAAAGAACATTGTCAAATTTATAAAAATGAGTCATTCCCCAATTGATAAATGGTCAAAGGATATGAACAGGCAGTTTTTCAATGAAATCAAAACTATATATGATCATGTGAAAAATGATCTAAATCACTATTGATAAGAGAAATGCAAATTAAGGTATGCAAGAAATTAAGAAATGCAAATTAAGATATCTCACACCTATCAGATTGGCGGAAATGATAGGGGAAAGTGACAGATATTGGAGGGGATGTGGGAAAATTGGGACACTAATTCACAGTTGATGGAATTGTGAACTGATCCAATCACTTTGGAGAGCAATCTGGAATTATGCTCAAAGAATTATAAAACGGTATAAACTTTGAACAAGTAATACTACTATTAGGTTTGTTTCCCAAGGTGATCACAGAAAAAGGAAAAGAACTGATATGTTATATTTGTAGCAGTTCTCTTTCTGATAGCAAAGAACTGGAAATTGAGGGGATGCTCATTAATTGGGGAATGGCTGAACAAGTTGTGGTATATGATTGTGATGGGATACGACTGTGCTGAAAGAAATGATGAGCTGGTTGATTTTAGAAAAATATAGAAAGACTTGCAGGAAATAATGAAAAGTGAAATGAGCAGAGCCATGAGAACTCTACAGTAACAGCAATATTGTTCTAAGTCACAACTTTGAACAACTAAGTCATTTTGAGTATTATACTCAAATCAGCCACAAAGGATCTGTGAAAGAAGATGCTATCTACATCCAGCGAAAGGACTAGTAAATAAATTTTATGGTTTCATACACACACACCCACACACATACATTTGTGTCTAATGGTGGCCTTCTCTAGGGGCAAGGAGAAAAAAGTTTAAAAGTGCACAGCAGATAACAAAAGAAAACTTAGAAGTAAGCACAGAAAAGAAGGGCAGTCTTAAAAACAATGTGTAGTATTTATTACATAGTTGGGGTTTTTTTTTAAGTAAACATGTGAAATGGAAATTCATGGTTTTATGTTGAATCCTCTACATTGTGTTGTGTACATGGAAATTCTTTTTTTGTCTTTTTGTATTTAAATTCAAAATAAATAAAAAATTTTAAAGAGAACCAAAAAAGAGTCCGTGGATGAAGTTATTTTTCAAGAAATAATCAGGTGTTTTTTTTTTAAGGTTTTACAAATATGGATAAGCCCAATCCAGTCAATTAAATTCAGACATCTTTACAATCCATCCTGACAAGTTACTCATACAGACCCTTATTCAGACTTGTGAAAGTACAGGACTTTTGCAGTCTTAAATCATAGTATGGCAGATGGTTGTGAAGTCAAACACAGAGGAGCATACTAGCTTTGAGCAGATGTTTCATGCTCCTGGATCATGCAACATGGTATAGTAGAAGGAGTACTGGATTTGAAAGGAAACCTAGGTTTGAATCTGGCTTTGCTACTCAAAACCTGTATGACTTGGGTCAAGTTCTACAATTTCTGGGCCTTGGTTTCCTTATCTAAAATGAGGAGGCTGGAAAAGATAATGTGTAAGGGACCTTCCTATATTTAATATGATTCATTATTCATGAGTGATTTCCATTTATGTCTTTCCTAAGACATCCTGGGTTTCAATTTGACTACAGACCCTTGCATAAACAAATCATAGATAATTTTTTTTTGTTTCCTTTTTCCATGTGAATTTAGTGAGACTTGCTTTGTGCTTTCAAACATTTAAATATGTGAGTTAAGAACATGTTGGAAATTTCTATACAAAATCCTCCTAATGTCAAAATGAGCACTTTTTTCCTACTGGGTAAAATTACCACCTCTGGCTAGATTTGAATTGGAAATTTTCACATACTGTACAAAGGGGCTAAAAACAAGAATAAAAAAGCGAGAGGGTAGGATTTAATTGTTCCTCCTAGTAAGTATTAAAATAGCATATTTACCCTCTTTTGCTTACCAAACTAAGCATGTTAGGTGAAATAAACATAGGAGACTCTGACTGGTTTTTTTCATACTATCTATCATCTATAATGAATTTTCAGTGATAACCTAGAACTTCCTTCAGCTATGATCCAGAATGGAGGAAGCTGGAAGAAAATATATAGAAAGGGGTGAATGAATTCTAAACACACACCTCTGTTTTTCACAGCTTTACTTACCACTCGCTTCTCAATCTATTGTAATCTGTCTTCTGATTCCACAACTCAGTTGAAACTTCTCTGTCCAAGGTTACTGACAACCTCTTAACTGCCTTCCTCAGCCCTCATTCTACTTGACTTCCTGGTTCTTCTAACAATGTCTACCCCACTCCTCCTGTATACCTACCTTGCTTCTGTGACATTGCCTTCTTGATTCTCCCTCCTAACTCTTTAACTTTTCGGTTTTTTTCATTGGATCTTCGTCCTTCTCTGATCCACTAAAATCATGCAGAAGATTCAGATACAGCCCCTTACTCTTTGTTCTCATTTAGTAATCTCATCAGCTCCTTTCAGTTCACCTATCATCTATGTACAGATAAATCTCAAATCTATTTACAATCCCTAATCTCTCTACTGAACTCCAATTCCATGTCACCAGCCACATTGGTAAACATCCCCTCAGCATCTCAAACTCAACATATCCAAGATGAACCTCATATTTATTCCCCAAATCCATCCCTTTCCATTCCAAGCTTCTGTTGAGTGAGTCTGAGATACAATCTCAAGATCATCCTTAAGACTTTTCCCTCTCCCTTACTTCCTTGAGTCAAACAGTTGTCAAATCTTACTTTACCTTATTGATGCTAACCTCTCCTGTGTGGCTACTTCTCTCCACTCTACCCATGACCTCTACCCTAGTTCAGGCCTTCATTATCTCTTCTTGCCCAGACTACAACAGCCTCTTATCTGGTCTCCCTGAATCTAGTCTCTCCCTTCTCCAATCCATCTTCCACACAGTTGCCAAATTGATATTTCTAAAGCAAAGCACAGATGTGACCATGCTACTCCTGTTCAAGATGCTTAGTGGCCCTCTTTTGCTTCTAGGGTAAAATAAAAACTTCTGATTGGCTTTTAAAGCCCTTCACAGTCTGCCTTGCAGATTAATTTTAAACTGCTCTCCTTCATATACTCTATGGTCCAGCCAAACTTGCCTACTTGCTGTCCTCCCCCCTCCCCCACAACATTCTATCTTCCATCTATCTTTGTACAGGTGATTTTCCCACTTTCTTCAATCTGCCTCTTAGAATCCTTAATTTCCTTCCAAAGAAAGCTGAGGTTTAATCTAAAAGAGGCTTTTTCTGATGCTGTTAGTGGTTAGTGCTCTTCCCCTTTGCAAAGAACCTGGTATATACCATGTTTACTATCTGCATAATTACTACATTCCCCCAGTAGAATGTAAGCTCCTTATTACTAAGCAGATTTTGTTTCAAAGGTTTCTTGAATTGAACAGAATATTCAATTTTATCTATAATTAAAATATTTTTAAAGTAGAAACTAATCCAAAGCAAAAGCATAAACCTTTTTTTAAAAAATGAATCATTCCCTCCAAGACCATTAATAAAAAGATCTTCATAGTTTAATTAAACAAACTCAAAACTTAATTACAACTACCATTTCCTTGGGAATCAGCAACTATTTATTAAACAAATATCTCAAATATGCATCTTCAACATGAATCCTGATGCTTTAACATGTGACTATTCTGATATCCCCCTTTAAGTTTGCTTCTATCTTATTATTACTCATTTCCAGATTCAGATTTTGCATTACTTTGGAAAGCATATCATCATCTTTTTTATCTCCTGAAGCAGCTCCTTTGTTAAGATTTCCTTCTGCTATAATAAAAAACTGTTCTGTTGGCTGCAGAATGCTTAGTCCATATCCATTGTTGCTATAAATATGATTATTATTCATCTTCAATTTAGGGGCAGGAAGAACCTGTTGGGGTATTAAAATTGGTTAGTTTTTTAAAGGATAATTTCATGTTTTTCCTTACAGAGTATAAAGATGAAATAACTAGCATGATATTAACACCTAACTTCTTAAATCAACTATCTTTAAAAACTGGAAACAGTGCTACTTGCTTCAGTTTTTAACAAGTGCTGCTTTTTCATACTTCAAAATGGCCAATTCATCGATTTAACATATCTAGATTCACATTCTTACCAAGTTTAATTGTGCTCATAAATAATACTTTTTAAATGCTAGTAACTATTCTACTCAGATTTACTCGATAGATCTTCTATGTAACAAAATCCTTCAGATAAGTCCTACTCTGATGTGACCTTAGATTCTCAAAAGCGGTCCTAGCAGACAGGAAGCTCTAGAAGTTTCTAAAAGCTAGAAAATCTTCAAGCATGGGCCCTTTGACAGACTGAGTCTGCTGTGTAAGGACAAGCCTAGCTGGATTATTACCAGAATTCTGACCACCTGGTGACAGTTCAGAGTAGTCACACTATCCATTCTACAATGACAGTAGCAATAGGGGGAAAGGGAAAGGATATTAAGAATAATACAGTCTAAAAGCATTAATTTAACTGCTGATACTCAGTCTTTGTTCAATGAGCAAAAAGCTGATATACTACTGGACAGCACATCAGGAATACCTTGTTAAGTTCTAGGAACTACATTTTAGGAAAGAAAGACAAGATGATTTCTGTCCAAAAGACTCATCTTTCACCAGGACAGTGAAAAGATCAGAGAGGATACCAAATGAGAATGAACATCCCATCTAGCAGTCCACCTGGCCTATCTTCACCTGGCCTGCCACTGCCCCCATTTAACCTATCTGGAAATGTACCCAACCAACTAAACCTCCAGAAATTACATTTTTAGACCTTCAGGATAAACTGTCTTGACTGATGAGTACAAACTCGCCTAGCCCACTAACATGTTTCCAACAAGCCATCCACTCTAACCATTCTCTTATCTGCCTTGTCCTGTAGTATCCTTCCCACTCCTGCTTTTTGCCCCTTGCTATGGACACAATAATCAAATCAATACTGCTATTGCTTCTAGAAAGGGCATATCATTTGAATAGGAATATGGATCAACTTGCCATCCCTATGATACCCCAGACCAAAATTCACTTTATCAATGCCCTTATCTATGTGTTGTTTCCATTAGAACGTAAGCTCCTTGAAGGCAGGTTGTCTCACTTTTTCATTTCTGTTTCCAGAATCTAGTATAGTACATAGCATAAACACTTAATAAATGGTTTTTCATTTATTTCTTCATCAACATGAGGAACTGAAGATGCTTAGCTTGGACATTTAAAGGGGACACAATAACTATCTCTAAATATTTCAAGGATTGTTAATGCAGAAGAGGGATTAGATTTGTGCTACTTGGCTCCAGGCAGCAAAACTAGAAATAACAGGTGGCAGTTTCAAAGAGAGAAAGATTAGGTTTACATGAAATACAGACTGGACAACCACTTGTCTGGGAAGCTTTAGAAGACAGTCTTCGTTGTTGGATACGGGTTGGACTAAATGGCCCCTGGGATCCTTTCCAGCTCTTATATTCTGATACTGTGTAGAATAAATCTGATGTTCTACTATCCTTTACTTCAACCATCTGAATTCCTACAATGAATATTGTAAAATTCTTCCTAGTAAAAACTTTAAAATAACTATAAAAAATGAGATTACCTTCATATTCACCCCACCTAAGGTGCTTTTTGAATTATCACTAGTTCTAAGATTATTGCAGTGATGAATTTCATTTCTTTCCAAAATGGCTATGCTGCCAGGATACAGTTCGACACCAGAACCCTGCAAATTAAAAACAGGCAAAAAGCCAATAAAAATTACAAGAAAAAAATCATAAGCTTTATTTAAATATGAAACTGCAGTTCATTTTTTAAAAAATGAGACTCCTCTTTTACTTATGGAAATTCACAGGATGGAATAAATTCTGAAACACCATGAAAGAACATATAAGTGTAGCAAACGTGCAGAAATCTCCTTTGGAAAATAGGACTAGAATATGGCTAATACAGAAACATGTTTTCCATGACTGCAACATGTGTAGTTTTTATCAAATTGCTTGCCTTCTCAGGGAGAGAGGGAAAGAATTTGGAACTCAAATTTTTTAAAAACAAATGTTAAAAATTGTTTTTACATGTAATTAGAAAAAATAAAGTATTTAAAAATTGAAAGAAAAAAAAAGAAGGCCAGAAGGGATAGTAAGATCATGTAGTCCAATTCCCTGCCATCCTAGACAAGTATAAAGATATTATAAAATCTCTCCTTCAATGTTAATTTCTATCAAGAAATTATAGTTATCCCTTCCACATCTCGATTTTCCCTATCGAATGGTTTTGATATATTACAAGTTGGCATAAGAAATTAAATGGGAGTTTTTTGGGAGTTTTGTGGAAGTTGCAGACAACATGCAAAGACCAGCAGATGATACAGAGCCTATGACCAAATACTTAACCCAAAGTTTACAATAAGATACCGTAAACATCCCCCCAAAAAAGAAAAAATTTAGACTTCTCTGGTATGAAGGGAAAACCAAAACATTTTACACAGATTTTCCAGATAGCAGGGGTGCCATGCCCCTAATCCCCACAATGTGGAAAGGATAACTATACTCCTTATGCATCAGTTTAAGTATACTTTTCTTAGACCTAGGCTAAAATAAAAAATGGGTCAACTTTCTAATAGTTAATAAACATTTCACTCCTAATTTTTTTCTCTTTCCAAATTCTTTATTAGTTTCTTATTAGATTTCTCCCTCTTGATCAGTTATATTTTTGGCTATCAATTTAACTGTCTCTGAACTTTTAGGTCCTGTTTAACCCATTACTCTGTAGTGATGTTTGATACTTTATAAACATTTTTTAAAATTATATATACACACATACATACATCTGTATGTGTATATATATATGTATTAAATGTAAAGTTTTATTTAAAAGGTAAGAACTTTACATTAGCCAATTCACATTTGGCTTTTTACTCAGTAAGAACCTTTTCAGTCATACTTAGCTCCATAAACTAGTCATTCTCATCTTGAATCAATATGATCTGGTTTTTCTCTCCCAAATAAACTCTCTTGAACCTGTTTCTGATTAGCTTGTTTTAGTTTCTGACCACTTTCTTTACAGATTTGAACTCTGAATCTTCTCTAAATAGCTGCCAGTTATTTGCACATCAAAACCACTTAACTTTGTTCTAAGTATGCTCTAAGTAAGTATATGTTTCCAAGTAGTGACGTGATCAAAATTAAATACCTGAGCTCCAGTGATTTCACTGTCAGTGAGAGTCAAAGCTGCTCCTGTAAGAACACATACTCCTGTTCCTTCACACTTCAATACACAGTCCTCTAGGGTCATGTGACCAGATTCCACGACCACAATACCATCAACAGTCCCTTGTTGTACCAAAGTAAGACGCATCAGCTTCACATTTTCAGCTTTAGATACTACAAAACTGTCACAAGAAGGTTCTGAGGTAATCACAATCTCCTCTCTCTTTCCAACTCCTGATTTCACAGAATAAAATATATAATTACTTAATACTAGTAGAATAGATTTAAAGGCTTTGAGTTATTTAGTAATAAAAATTTTCCTTTTCATATTTACAATAAAATGTCTAGTAAACAGCTAAAGAAGATACTTATCTACAAGGGCTTGATTTTTCCAAATTCATTTTCTCAATTATAGGGTAGCACTATAGAAACAACCTCTAAACTTATCAATTTTTCTGTTCAAAATCCTTCATTTAAGGCCTACTTTATTTTATTTTATTTTTTTAGGCAATTGGGGTTAAGTGACTTGCCCAGGGTCACACAGCTACTAAGTGTCAAGGGTTCAGTCTGAGGCCGGATTTCAGGGCCAGTGCTCTATCCACTGCGCCATCTAGCTGCCCCATTAAGGCCTACTTTAATGTCCCACTGAAGTCCTACTCTGTTGTGGCAGGGAGATGACTGATTTCTTGAAAATTAATGCTAGCATGGTACAATCTCTGGTAATTCCTATGAAGCTGGAAAGGCATGACACATGAACCAAGTGAAAGACTTGTCATATGAAGAGCAAACTAGCCCAATTCATAGAATCTCATCACCAAAAGGTTAGCTACAAGGTAATGATATTTTTGGCCACAGCTACTTATCTATCAAGGGATGGAAGGTTTGTAAGCAAGCGACCACAATGATGAAAATAGATTAATCAGACAACAAGCGTTTATTAAATGCCTACTATGTGTCAGACATTGTGGTAGGCCCTGGAGATACAATTACAAAGAAGGAAACAAACCCTATTTATAAACAACTTACATTATAAATGGGGGAAACAAGTACATATATAAATATGTACAGTATAAATATAAAGGGAATGAATATTAATGCTTACAAAGTAATTAAATACAAGGTAGCTGGGGAGGGAGGGCACTAAGCAGTTGAGGGAAGGAATCGGGGAAGTTTTCATGCAGAAGATGTTGCTTGAGCTGCATATTAAAGACAAAAGGGACTTCATGAGGTGCAGGTAAGGAGGGAATGCACTACAGGCACGTGGGATAGTCACTTCAAAGGCATGAAAACAGGAGATGGAGTGTCAATAGTGTGGGAAGGGAAGTAGAGGCCAAAAATATGGATTGAGGCTAGATTTTAAAGGACTTTATGAGCTAACCAGTGTTCCTATTTTATCCAAGAGGTAATGGGAAGCCACTGCATTTGACTGATTCCTCTGACCCACATGGTCAGATCTTTGCTTAAGGCAAATTACTTTGGTATCAGTGTGTATGAATGGGGAAAGACAAGGCAGTAAGATGGAAGAGAGGTCAGACAGCTAGGAAGAGAACCACAAGAAAGTAGTGTCATGAAAACCCAGAGAGGAAACAGTATCCAGAAGGAAGAATATGGTCAATACTGTCAAATGCAACGATAAGTTGAGATGGATGAGGACTGAGAAAAGCCCATAAGATTTAGCAATCAAGAAGTCATGGCTTTGGTAAGCAGGACCGCCTCTTTGTTAGAGAATGGGAAAAAAAGAAGATAGAAGATAATGTCAAGAGGTTCTGAGTTGAAGAGAATAGGAAAACAGGAATGCCAAAAGGCCTCAATTATTTCAGTAAAGTTAGGAGGTTAGGTCCTCAGTTGAGAGAGAAAAGAAGATGAGGGAGGAGAGGTATAGGATGTTTACAGAGCAAAGAGGTTTGAAATAATTTTATAGAAAGTGAGATAAGCAATCATTTAGGGAGGAATAAAAGCACTGCCTTACTGCAGTGAGGGTCCAGTTGAGTTGTATAACATCATTTTTTAAATATAATTTTATCATATATCTTTAATTAACAAACATTTATTTTCTTTTTCTCCCCTCTCCTTGTCAGCCCTCTACTAAACAACAAAAAAACAAAAACCACTGTAATAAATATGCATAGTTAAGCAAAGCAAATTCCTGTATGGGGCATGTCCAAAAATATATGTCTCATTCCTCTCATTTAGGAGGTAGATAGCAATTTTCATGTTCATTCCTTCGGAAACATGACTTTTTTTTTTTAGCAAAGCAATCAGGGTTAAATGACTTGCCCAAGGTCAGACAGATAGTACGTGTCAGGTGTTCGGTCCAAGGCCGGATTTGAACTCAGGTCCTCCTGACTTCAGGGCCGGTGCTCTATCCACTGCGCCACCTAGCTGCCCCAGAAACATGATTTTTCATTGCAATGATTAGAGTTCTCAAGTCTTCCAAAGCTGAATAACATGGATCTGTACTGGTCAGCATGGGTGTGAGACCTCATCTAGCAGTAAAGAGTAGGGAAGGTGAATGGTGGGAGTATTCCAGAGGTGAGGTTTGGAAAAAGATGAGCAAGAGGACAAGGGATTCAAGAGCATAGGACAATGTAAAGGTGAAATGGATTGAGATTGGAAAAGGAAGACAGTAAAAAGCAGGAGTAATAGCCTGAGAAAGTACTGAATGGTACAGGAGGGTGAGAGGCACAGTGAGAGGTGAATGAGAGGTCAGATGTCAAAGTTTCTAATTAAGGAAGTGGAAGACTTGTGGGTAATTGATGAGCTCTAGTGTGTGACCATTCCTATACATGGAGTGAAGGAAAAGGACATGGGATTTAAGGAAGCTACAGAATTGGGAGGTCAGAGAATTTGAGGGGGCATATATGTGAATATTAAAGTCCTCTAATAGAAGGGCAGGAGTTAAGGAGGGAAAGATGTGAGTTTGGTTTCAAAATCCTTGAAAAAGAAGGAAGAATTACCTAAGGGGCTGATACACTACAGCTACTATAATTTGGATTGGGGGGTTGGGGGTGGGTTTATAGAGTAGACTTCAGGGGCAGCTAGGTGATGCAGTGGATAGAGCACCAGCCTGAAGTTAGGAGGACCTGAGTTCAAATCCAGTCTCAGACCAGACATTTGACACTTACTAGCTGTGTGACCCTGGATAAGTCACTTAACCCCAATTGCCTAAAAAAACATAAAAAATAAAATAAAAAAATAGAGTGGACTTCAAAGGAAGAAAGATTGCTGAGTGATGAGGCAAATCTGGAAGTGACAGCAGAGGAGCAAGGCGTATTCTGATTAGGATCAGATCTAGGATCAAGGTGTACAGGGGTCTGGGTTGGAGGGGTATATGAGAGAAGGTAAAGCTAGCACAAAAGGATAACATAGTGTCCTCAGGGAGGAGCCAAATCTCTGTGAAACATAATAGATGAAAGGCATGCGAGGCAAAGAGGTCCAGGATGAAGGGAATTTTTTTTCACTATGGAATAAGAATTTCAGAGAGCAGAGAGGAAATGGTGGGCAGGGTTAAAATGGGATAGGAGTGGGTAGGGTGGGAAGGCTGGGATAAGAGAATGCAAGGAGTAGTTAAGGGAAATGTCTATTAATATACTTCTTATATGAGCATTCCTAAAGTCCATTATTTACAGTCAGAACATAAAATATTCTAAGGCATAAAAATTAAAAATATTTTCAGAACAACAAATGAGCCCAAATAAAGATTGTAGGTGATTTTTGAAGCTAATGTAGCCATGCCTATATAAAGATATATTCCCCCAATGGAATGTAAGCTATTTGAGGGCTTTTTGTTTGTTTTGTCTTTGTATCCCCAAGGACTAGCACACTGTCTTGCACATAGTAGATGCTTAATATTTACTGATTTGAATGTTTACAATCAAGTATACAACTGGTTCTGGAGAAAAAGATAAACAGCCATGAAAAATTAACATCTACTAAAAAAGAGGACCTGAGAGAAAGCTATACATCTTGAAAGAAGTTGCAAATGCAACCCACACTAATAATATGTGGCAACAGACTACATCAAAAAAATCTCTGAACTTTTTTGAGTAAGCAAACATGAATTTATATCCCAAATTTGGTACTTACTATGTGAATGATCACAGACAAGCCCCCCTCCAACTTTAAGTTTTCCTTATCTGTAAAATGGGGCTATAAATATGCACATTCTCTCACAGGACTGCTATGAGGAAAGTGATTCATAAATCTTATCTCAATAAGAGCTATTATTACACTCATTTTCAGATTGTCACTATCATCAGATGTAATACCACTATTTAAATGTACGAAAATCTAGTGACATCTATACTAGATAAAAAACATATATATATTTTTTTAATATACAGGAAATACTGAAGGTCCATCTGTATCCAAGAGAAGAGTAGGACAAATGAGTAGGTAAGCTAGTAGCTGTTCTAGACCTAAATAAAATTAAAAGAAACAATAAATTTGGTCTTTCCTTTCAATTAAAAAATGTTTTTGTTTACATATGAATTTATGTTATTGGGGTTTTTTTCCCAATCAAGTGAGATTAACAATAGGAGAGGATTTGAGTTCAAACCCTGACTCTGATAGTGATCACCTTTGTGATTATGAACTAGTAATGCTATAGACTACAGATGTGAAGGGCTGTAAATCACATCAACTAACATTCTCACTTTAGAGGTCTGGAAACTGAAGCTCACTGAGGTGAAGGAACCTGTCCAGTGTCATGAAGGCAGTAGAGAAAAGAGCTGGAATTAGGACCCAAGTCCTCTGACTCCCAATCCAGCCCTTTTTCCAGTGCAACATACTTGCTGAACTTTGGCAAACTCTTTAAGACATAATGCCTAAGTTTATAGATGGGCTGCAGTCTCAATGGAGGGAATTCTCACACTAATAAAATCACAGATCCTTAATGTGATAGTAAAAGATGCAAACATTGAAAAAGTTAAACTCTTAAAACTAATTTTTTGGGGAAAAACTACATGAAGGCTGACACAAAAATATGTTCCTAGAACTTAAACATTTTCCGCATTTCTAACTATGGAATTAAGCATAAGTTTTATAATATATAATTATTCTGATGCCAAGAACTAGAAAAAGAGGTAGGCTAAGTAAGGGGCAGCTCGGTGGCACAGTGGATAGAGCACCGGCCCTGGAGTCAGGAGGATCTGAGATCAAATGTGTCCTCAGACACCTAACACTCACTAGCTGTGTGACTCTGGGCAAGTCACTTAATCCCAATTGCCTCACATTAAATTAAAAAAAAAAAAAGAGGTAGGCTAACCTTTAATAATGATGTCATCAGTCAACAAGGCAAGGTTTGTAGCTTGATATTCTCCTGGAAAAAGGACCACTGTGTCACCACTGTAACAGCTATCCAAAGCCAGATCTAAATCATCATGTTGTTGGAGAAGTGTGTCTGAGGATAAGTCTTTAACCTGAAAAAAGAAAAAAGAAACAAGAAACACTGTACTTCTAATAGTAGATTTACTTAATATAAGTTCATATATAGGATTATAGGATTTAGAACAAGAAGGTAACTTAATAGATGATGTAGCCTAATCCTTCTACTTTCTGATGAAAAAATAGAACAGAAGTAATTGGCCCAAAGTCAGTAGGCAGTAAGGCAGAGCTCAGTTTCATACTCAAGGTCTTTGACTTCAAATTATTCTTTACCTAAATTATACCACAGCCACACTCCTACTTTTCTGAAGTAGGAACCTAGGTGCCATCAACAACTTGATGATTCTTTCCATTCTCAGTGCCACCACCCTGGTAAAGGCCCTCATCAGTTCATGCCTAAACTATTTGCCTTCTTGTTGGTCTCCCTCTCTCAAGTATCTCCCCACTCCAGTCCATCCTCCACTCAGTCATCAAAGTGATCTTTCTAAAGTGCAGATCTGACCATGTTACTCTATTATTCAATAAATTCCAGTGGTTTTCAAATATAAAAACCTCTGTTTGGTTTTTAAAGTTCTTCATATAATATCATCCCTACCTACTTTTCTAGTCTTCTTCACACTTCATTCCCCTCCTCCATGCACTCTGTGATCCAGTAATTCAGGCTTCCTTATTGCTCCTCAAACACAGACAGTCCATCTCCCAAACTCCCTGCATTTTCCCTGGCTGTCCCCCAGACCTTGAATTTTCTCCCTTCTCATTCTCTGTCTCCTTGCTTTCTTGGCTTTAAAGTCTCAACTAAAATCCTTAAAAGGGCCTCTGCTGGAAGCCTTTCCTGGTCCTTAATGTTAGCTGCCTTTCCTCTGTGGATTGTCTCCACTTATTTGTTTGTTTTCATGTCATCTCCCCCATTAAATAGTGAATATCTTGAGGGCAGGGACAGTTTTTGCCTTTCTTTGTATCCCCAGGGATTACTGACGTGTCTGAAATATGGCATGTGTTTAATAAATGCTTGTTAACTTAATGACTTGATTATTTGAAATGGTCTTTTATTTTAGGAAACACATCTGCTGTAACTACTTTAGCAACTACTATATCATTCTAGATTACAGAAGGTTTTTGGAAGTCAAAGTCCCAAATACTAGAACATGGATTCTTTTTTTAAAAAAATTATCATATGCAAATTAAAACAATTCTGAGGTACCACCTCACACTTATCAGATTGGCTAATACAGCAAAAAAAGGAAAATAAGTTTAAATGTTGGAGGGGATGTGGGCAAATGTAGACACTAGTGCACTATTGGTGGAGTTGTGAACTGATCCCCCAAAGGATACCCTCTGACCTGGCAATACCACAACTAGACTTGTATCCCAAAGAGATTAAAAAAAAAAAGGAAGCAGACCTTTATGTACAAAAATATTTATAGCAGTTCTTTTTGTGATAGCAAACTGGAAACTGAAGAGATGCCTATCAGTTAGGGAATGGCTGAACAAGTTGTGCTATATGATTGGAATGGAATACTCTTGTGGTATAAGGAATGATGAGCAAGCAGATTTCAGAAAACCTGGACTTCCACGAACTGATACAAAGTGAAATGAGCAGAACCAGAAGTCCACTGAACAAAGTAACCCCAATACTATGTGATGATCAACTATGAATGACTTAGCTAATAACTCTGAAGGACTTATGATGAAAAATGCTATCCATCGCCACAGAAAGAACTAATGGAGTTAGTTCTCCATTGAACTAACAATGTTCATTGTTAGTATAAATACTATATATATATAAATAATATTTTTTTTCTTGGTCTGTGTTTTCTTTCACAACATAACTGATGTGGAAAATATGTTTTGCATGACTGCACATGTATTACCTATACCAAACTGCTTGCCATCTTAGGGAAAGAAGAGGGAAGGGAAGAAAGAATGGAATTTGTAACTAAAAATTTTAAAAATGAAAGTTAAAAATCGCTGGAAAAATATTTTTAAAAATGAAAAATTATATTTTATTTTAACATTCATTTTTTAACTTTTTTCGAGTTCCCAATTCTCTCCCTCCTTCCAAACCCTCTCTCACCCACTGATTATTGAGAAGGCAAGCAGTATGTTATCAATTATACATGTGAAGTCATGCAAAACATATTTCCATATTAGCCATGTTGCCAAAAAAAAGGCAAGAAAAATAAAGTTTAAGAAGTATGCTTCAATCTGCACTCAGAGTTCATCAGTACTCCCACTGGATATAGATAGCATTTTTCTTCATGAGTCCTCTGGAACTGTCTTTGATCAATGTATTGATTACAGTAGCTAAGTCTTTTACAGCTGATCACTGTTAGAAATTTAGAGCACAGATTCTTAATCATTTTTGTGTCATGGATTCTCCTGGCAGTCTGGTGAAACTACTAGACACTTTTCCAAGAACGATATTTTTAAATGCATAAAAACAAAATATTCAGCATTACAAAGGAAAGCTATTATATCAAAATAAAGAAGTAATTTTTTTCCCCAGCCAAGTTCATGAATCCTCTGAAATCCATGTTCATGGCCTCTAGGTTAAAAAAACCATGTGCTACATACAGCATTTTATCTTTGCTATTGTCCCAGTTTATTTCCAAGCTAATCATAACTTTAAAATCACTTTGAATGAGCATTTCTTCACTTCACTTACTCATTTGACAATCCATATCTGTTTATACAAAACAATGAGTATAAAAACAGTGAGAAAAACAGAGGTTTTACTTTGGTAATTTATTACACTTAAGAGTCACACATTGTCAGGCTAAGAAGGAACTTCAGAGGCCTCTCGTTTGGTGAATGAGTTAATCAATTTATCATAATGGATGAAAGGGAAGAACTGCTGAAATCATTGCTTACCACATCACACCATGATCTACTTGCTCCTCTTTCCAAACAATAAAAAAACTTCCTAACTATAATATTTTCCAAACTCTTTAATCTCCTTAAAACACAACAGCCTATGAAATTAGCTCCTGGATAATTTTGTGTTTTATTTATATGGTTTGGGAATTTAAATGAATTACCTACAAAGGATGACTAGGATTTTCTGAGGCAAGGAAGAAACTTTTACTTAATGAATAAGAAATGAATAGCTTAGCCATTTTTCTTTCTTCTCCAACTATAAAGCAAACAGCCTACAATATGCTATCTTCCTTGTGAGGAATAACTTACATGAACAGAAATCAGAGAATATATTTGTTGTACTAGAAAATCTAAAAATAATTTAATGTAACTTGATAAACAAAGATAGACTTTTTGCTGAAATATAACATTATCTTTGAGTTTTTTAGGGCTTATATGGCATAATCTTACCTATAGATATTTTAAAAAGGTTTGCCAAACAAACTGCTTTCACAGATATGAAGAATGTTAACCTATTTAAGAGTGAAGTTTTTAGCAAGGTCTTTCTATTCAAATTACTATTTCTATTCAAATAGTCATTTGTTATTTTTTCCTAATTGTTAAAGTACATTCATAACATCTAATTTACCAAGACAGTCCCTTTTCCCTTAGGAGTAGTGATACTTTTTTCAAATTGATCTATTTCATTAATTGAGTCATTTCTTCTAACAATGCAGAGTGCAACCCATCCCCATCGTGTGGATTCTTGTTCATGTCCTTTTTGTAAATTCATCCCAAGTGTGTACCATACATGCTGGAGGCTTTTCTCACATTATCCTCACATCATGAAGGTACCTTGGCTATCCAGTTCTTATCCCTCATTCTTGCATGTGAGCAGCCCATCTTCTCTTCCTTCTCTGACATTAAAGATATTTTTAACTCCTATTCTTCAGAGTTCCTCATTGATTATATGTTACAGGCTCTTCCCAATCACAATGAACCTCTCCACTGCCTTCTGTGTGATAGTTACTTTTAATTCATTGAAAATAATGGTATCCCACGTCTTGCTGCCATATTATAACACCAAGAGAAATGACACAAAGATGAGCCTTTAGTTTTATATAAAATCAAAACTATCTGGTACTGGTTAAGAAATAGAAAGGTAGATCTATAGAACAAGGTAGACATTTAATACACAGCAGTAAGTGATTTTAGTAACACTGTATTTGACAAATGTAAAGATTTAAGCTTGTGGGACAAGAATTCACTATTTGGTAAAAATTTTTGAGAAAACTGAAAAGCATTCTGGCAGAAATTGGGCATAGTCCAATATTTTACACCATTTACCAAGATAAGGTCAAAATGGATATGTGACCTAGATATAAAGGAAAATGTCATAAATAATTTAGAGGCTCACTGTTTTGGTTTTGATGGCTCAGAGTAAGTGTAAATAGCAACTGTTTCTGTTCTGGCCAGAAAACTCCAAGGATCTTCCCCACCCTGAATGATTCTTTTGTGAAGGCAAAGTAGGCCATCTTTTACCTCAATTCTTACCTAGCCTTTAACTACTGAATGGGTTTGCCTCAGATAAACTAAGACCTGGTAAAGACCTTAGTTTAAAAAGGCCAAGGTCTCCCACTGAATCTGGGGCCATCACCAGTCTTCTTGACCTCTGTCTCACCACTGCACTCTGATGACTCTGGAGGACAGAGTGAAGCTAATGACTTTGCACACTTCTGCCTCACTTAAATCCTATTCACTTGCATGCCAAGATCTATCACCCTTCTGATGTCTTTCATCTTCTTTGAGAACAAAGGACAAAAAACAAGTTAAAAGAACATTAACCATCTTATCTATCAGGCTTGTGTATAGGAGAAGAATATATGAATAATACAAGAGATAGACAGCATTGTGAGGTGTAAAATGGATAACTTTGATTACATTAAATTAAAATTTTTTTGTATAAATAAAACCAATGTAGCCAAGAACAGAAGGAAAGCAGAAAATTGGAGAAAATGTTTACGGACAGTTTCTTGGATAAAGGACCCTCATCTCAAATATACAGAGAAATCAGTCAAGTTTGTAAGAATATGAGTCATTCCCAATTGATAAATGGTCAAAGGCTATGAAGAGGCAATTTTTCAATGAAGTAATCAAAGCTATATATAGTCATATGAAAAAACTGCTCTAAATCACTACTGATTAGAGAAATGCAAATTAAAACAACTTTGAGATATTATCTCATGCCTATCAGATTAGCTAGAGTGAAATGTTGAAGGGAATATGGAAAAACTGGGACACTAATTCTTTGTTGGTGGAACTGTGAACTGATCTCCATTTTGGAGAATAATCTGGAATTATGCCCAAAGAGTTATAAAACTGTGTATATCCTTTGTACCAGCAATACCACTACTAGATCTGTTTCCCAAGGTGATCTGGAAAAAAGAAAAATAACCAATATGTTCTAAAATATTTATAGCAGCTCTCTTTGTGGTGGCAAAGAACTAGAAACTGAGAGGATGCCCATCAACTGAGGAATGGCTAGTTGTGGTATATGATTGTGATAGTATACTACTGTGCTATAAGAAATGATGAGCTGGTTGATTTTAGAAAAACATGGAAAGACTTGCATGAAATAATGAAGAGTGAAATGAGCAGAGTCAAGAGAACACTGTACACAGTAACAGCAATATTGTTCAAAGAATATCTGTGAATGACTAAGTTACCCTGAGTATTATAAATACTCATATCAACTACAGTGGACCTATGCAGGAAGATGCTATCCACCTCCAGAGAAAGAACTGATAACTAGAAATATAAAAGTATGGTTTTATGTGTGTGTGTGTGTGTGTGTCTGTGTTTGTGAAATGGTGGCCTTCTCTAGTGTGGGGCATGGAGGAAGACAGTTCAAAACTTAAAATGTAACAAAAAGTAAATTTAATTTAAATTTTAAAAATAAATTTTTAAAAAAGATCTAATAATTTTTTCTCCATTAGTTTATAAGGACCTTCCTGCTCTTTTTACTTCTCTCCAATTAAGGTCAATTGTCAAAGTTTTATGTATAATGAGGAATTGTAGAGAGCCTCCCAAAAGCCTAATGACTTCGGCATCATAAAAATTCAATATGTGGTCTTCTGAAAGATGATGATTTATTTTGAGAGGGGGAAAAAGGGAAAGGAAGGAAAAGGGAATAAGCATTTATGTAGTGCCTGCTATGTGCCAAGCACTGTGTTAAGCACTTTACAAATATTATTTCATTTGATCCTCACCTGGTAGGTAGATGCTAATAGAATTCCTAACTAATTTATATATGAAAGAAACTGAGGCAAACAGGTGAAGTGACGTCCCCAGGATCACACAGCCAGTAAGTATCTGAGACAGCATTTGAACTATTTATTGCACTACATTTATCCTTAACTTTCACTGAGCCACCACACATGACTTCATTTCCTTTGTTTCCCTCTACTCCATTTATGAAGGTCCTCCACTTTTCCTAGGCCAAATTTAGTAAATAATCCCCCTTCTCTTTATCATACAACTTCTGAGTATTCTTTCAAACAGTATTGACTAAAATGCCTTCTTCATCCCAGGCAAGGGGTCAGACCTTCCCATCATTCAAAAAATGCCCAATATCCAAACTCTTTCAGGAAATTTTCCCCAATCAATTAGAGGAAAAGTAGTGATTTCAACACCAACATGATTAAATTCCCAGAATTTCTTCTTACCCCTCCACCTGCACTAAATACTTCTGATTGAACATACTAAGAAATACTTCATCTGTCTGGATCTTGTCAAGCTTCCATTTTAAACTTCCCAAAGGCAACAATAATCTCAAATTTCCTTTTAACAGTATCTAGCATAGTGTACTACATGCAAAGAAACATTTAATAATTCTATTCAGTAATGATGAGGTAGATAGCTAAATTTGAATTAATAGACGCCTAAAGTATATTTCTTACCATTTCAGTAGTCATCACTTTGGCTACAATATGAGTTATAGTTTTTCCCAATTCTCTTGTTCCTTTCCTACGCCTCAAAATTCTTGGGAAGAAAGGTCCATGAACTCTGTAATTTAAAAATTCAGATATTTATTTAAATCAAATGTTTCAAATGAACATGAAACAGGCTAACCTAGTTTTATTTATTATGTTAGAACCTTAGTTATCCAGCATCACAGGAGAATGAGACATTCTAGATGCTTTTGTAGATAAAAAGGGTTTTAGTCTTTTCATCTCTCTCACACACACAGTCCTACAACTGTCTATTCAAGGGTTTGCTAAGGTAAAGCTATCTGTCACAAAGAGGACAAAGTAAATAAATGATTATCATTATTATTTGCTAAAATGTTCTTTATAAAAAACAACATAAATAATAGTTTTATTCTTTATGTGTACATTTGAGACTATTAAGCTCACAATAAAGTTTTTTTTACAAAAGTAAGTATTCTCCATTGTTGAATTTCCAGAAACAAAACAGTCATCTCAAGTTTGAAAATCAAAGGTATTAAATAAGTATTTTTTAAACTGTATTTGACAAACAGCTAATCACACCACAAAAAACTGAACTGATTTTATCTTAAACAGATAAGAAATGACTAGTTACTGATGTGGAATTTATTTCAGAATCATATATCTGAGTGAAGTCAGATCTTAAACTAGAGCAAGTATCACAACCAACATCAAATTAGAAGAATAAGAAAGATGCTGAGTATTAATGTAACAGTTTCAATCTCACCTCTTCAAACAGGCTACAGTAATGCTAACAAATGGGAATTAGAAAAAAACAAAGATACCGAATGACCTTGATTAACCATTTTCTCCAAGAGTGATATAAAATAATCACAATAAGTTGGCCAAACAGCCCAGAAACTGCCTTAGCCACCCAACATTCACTGCCTTGCCATGTAGAGAAATAGCAGTCAAGAGTAACACTAGTTTAAAATACAAATTCATTTATAAAACACTAGGAAAAAAATTAAAGAATAACAAAAAACCAGAAACAGTATTGCATTTAGTTTCATTGATAGCAAAAAGCAAATGGGAAAGCAAGTCTATAGAAAGCTTGGTATGAGAGTCACAGGGGTATGAGCGATGATTGTTACATTTTCAGTGTGAGCATTTACACCTCTGAAATAAGTCAACAATTCAAATTAGGGCTTTAATGATTGTCTAGATTTCAGAAAATATCACAGAAAATGTTGATAATGCAAGTTTAATTTAAAAGTATGTCATGTGCACATCTTTTTTGGAAACAGTTGTAAAAAATTATCCAGAACACTCCTGCCAGGGACCAATCTAAGCAGCCATATCACCACAAAAGTAGTTATAGATGAAATTGTCAAGAATCACACAATCTCAAAGTTGGAAGGAACTTCACAGGACCTTCAAAAGCCGGTCTAAATCTAAATAACAATCTCCTCTACAACAAAGAGGGATAAAAAAGGACAAGTAGAAAGTGGAACAACAGATTTGTCAGCTTTGCTTTTCTTTTTTTTTTAACAGTATTTTTTCCAATTACATGTAAAGACAATTTCTTACATTTTTTTGTTATTTTAAGTTTCAAATTTTCTCTCTCCTACTCCCTCCTCCTTCCCTAAAAAGGCAAGAATTTTAAATAGGTCATACACGTGCAATCATGTAGAACATATTTTCATATTAGTTATGTGAAAGAAGAAACAGACCAAAAGGGAAAAGAAAAAACACAAAAAAGACAAAGATAGTGAAAACAGTATGCTTCAATCTGCATTCAGACTACATCAATTCTTCTTCTGGATGTGAACAGAATTTTCCATCATGAGTCCTTTGGAATTGTCTTAGATCTTTCTATTGCTGAGAAGAGCCAAGTTATTCATGGTTAAGCAACAATTTAAGTACAAGAAATGGCATAAGAAATATCAGCCAACTTAATCTTTAACCTGGTAAATGGAGAAGAGTGATTTCCTACATGGTATGAGCTAGGGAAGGGAAAGTTCAGCTTCCTTTACTCATGTTAATGGCAACATGGCAAGGGGGCAAAAACATAGGTGTAAATTCATCCTCCTTTTCTATGAGATGGGAGCAGACCAATTTTCAGAAGGATCTGGGTCTGCAAGGTGGTTAATGGCACAGGATTGAGCACTGGGGAATGTAATTCATAAAATGAGCTATGGAGAGAGGAAATCACTTGGAAATTACTCTAGTATATTAGTAATGCTTAACATTTTTATTTTAATAAATACTTGGGAAAAAAAGAAATATCAGCCAAGAAATATGTGATGAAATACGTGAATAAATCACGTTGTAAAAATAAGAGATAATAGATGGCTAGCTCAAGAAGCTGCACTGGTACCCACAAAATGTAAAAAGAACAAGAGGGCTCTATAACACACGAGGTAAATCCTATGAATAGGATCTTTGGAGAATATAAATGATAATCATACTTGGTGGTTGCCTTCTGCCCACATAAGAGAGAATCCATGTTACTGGATCAATTGAAATACTAAAGTATTAGGATAAATGATAAGTTCCTTGAGGGCATGGATCGTTTCATTTTTGTCTTTACATCTCTAGCACCTAGAATAGTGCTTCAATCAATCAATAAACACTTATTAAGCACCTACTATGTGCCATGCACCATGCTAGGATCTGGGGATACAAAAAGAAACAAGACAATTCTTGCTCTCAAGAAGCTCACAATCTAATAGGGGAGACAACAAGCAAACAAATCTATACAAAAAAAGCTATACATAGGATAAATAGGAAATAATTAACAGAGAGAAGGCATTAGAATTAAAAGGAGTTGGGAAAGGCTTCCTATAGAAGATTAGATTTTAAACTATACTTAAAGAAAAAGCCAGGTCTTTTGTGGATGCAAAGAATTGGAAATTGAGGGAATGCTTATCAATTGGGAATGGCTGAACAAGTTTTAACACACGATTGTGATGTAGTACTGTTGTGCTATCAGAAATGCCTGGGGGGGGTGGTTTCAGAAAAACATGGCAAGAATTATATGAACTGATGGAAAATAAAGTGAGAAGAGCCAGATCACTGTTCACAGTAATAGAAATGTTGTAACGATGATCAACTGTGAAAGATTTGACTACTCTGAGCAATACAATGACCCAAAACAAGAGAGAGAACTGATGAATGCTTAGTGCAAATTGAAGTATAATTTTCTCACTTTATTTTTCTTGCTTCTTTTTGAAACACAGCTAAAATGGAAATATGCTTTGCATGATTTCACATGTATAATTGATATACTGCTTGCCTTCTCAGTGGGTGGGGGAAGAAGGGAGAGAATTTAGAACTCAAAGTTTAAAAAGAAAAGAACATTAAAAAATAAACAAATTGAAATGTTAAATAAAAAAAAGCTAAGATCAGTAGTCATAGTGGAGGAGGGAGGGGCATTTCATGGGGGACAGCCAGAGAAAATGCCCAAAGCCAAGAGACGGAGTATCTTATTTGTGGAACAGCCAAGAGGCCAGTATCACTGGATCAAAGCATATGTGTTGCTGAACAAGGTGTAAGAAGACAGGAAAGCTAAGATGGGGCTAGATTATGAAGGGCTTTGAATGCCCAAACAGAGGATTCTGTATTTCATCCTGGAGGAGATAGGGAACCACTGGAGTTTATTGAGTAGAAGGGGTGGTATAGTCAGACCTGCACTGTAGGAAAATCACTTTGGTGGCTGAATGGAGGATACATTGGAGTCTGGAGTAGAGTGGTTTGGAGGGGAGAGGATACCTGAGGCTGGCAAACCCACCATCAGGCTAGTTCAATAGTCCAATAAGTGAGGTGATGAGGGCCTGAACTAGAATAGTGGCAGTGTCAGAGGAGAGAAGGTAGCGTATTTGAGAGAGAGGGTGCAAAGGTATTGAAATCAGCAGGCTTTGGCAACAGATTGGATATGAGAGTGAGAAATAGTAAGGAGTTGAGGATGAATCCCAGGCTATGAGCCTGAGGGACCTAGAGAATGGTGCTGCCCTCTGCAGGAATAGGGAAGACAGGAAAAGGGGCAGGTTTAGGGGGAAAGAATTTAAGTTCTGTTTTGGACATGTTTAGTTTAAAGTATCTACTGGACATCGAGTTTTGAGATGTCTGAAAAGCAGTTGGAGATATAAGATTGGAGGTCAGCAGAGAGATTGTGCTTAGTCAACAGTAGGCTTGATCTCTGAATACAGGACTGTGGAATCATTCTGTTCAATACCTTATGCTGCAGAACCCTAAATCCTAACTGAAATAAGATACTAATTTTGAAAACTACTCATATTTACACTATATTTTATAGTTTACAAAATGTCTTTTTCTAAATTGTCGCATCAGGGGGCAGCTAGGTGGCACAGTGGATAGAGTACCAGCCCAGGAGTCAGGAGGACCTGAGTTCAAATCTGGCGTCAGATACATAACACTTACAAGCTGTGTGACTTGAGGCAAGTCACTTAACCCCAATTGCTCACAAAAAAAAAAACAATTAAATTTTCTCATCAGGAAATGTTAAGTAGAATGATACAGGCTTAGAGAGTTCAGTATTCTGCTCAAGGTAAAACACTGGTTATCATAGTACTATGAACTCATATTTATGCAGTGCTTTATGGTTTTCAAAGCACTTTACATACACTATTTCATCTGATCTCAAATTAAGATAGATAAGGAAACTGAGGCTTAGGAAATTTAAATGATGGGCTCATGATCACACACATAAGAAGAGGTAAAGAGCCAAGATCTGAACTCAGGGTTTCTGTCCAATACTCTATGACACCACATTGCCTTAGTTATTTGACCAATGCCTGGGGAGACTGGAATCATACTTTCAAAGTCACCGAGTCCATACATAACATCTAAAAAAGAAATCCTTTTTAAATAACATCTCCAAATTAGTAAACTAATTTCTACCAATGATGGGGAACTCACTAATTCCTAAAGGAGCCCACGACACTTTTGGATAGCTCCAGCTATTAACAGGAAAGTTTCTACTTATATCAAGGCAAAATTCTACTTTTTGGTACCTTTTACCCACTGACCCTCATTCTGTCCTCTGCAGCCTTATCAGTCGAAACATTAATTTACCACCCATCTCATATCTTTTGG